TGGGGCTGGAGCAAAGAGGAGCGGCTGCCCGGCCAGCTGGCCATGGTGATCAGCCCAGGTGCACCCTTCTCTGCAGGAGAGGTGAGTTGGCCCCAGAGGAGGCACACGCTGGGGCTTCCCTGCTCCACGGGGAAAGGAGTCCTGGGAGGAGGCGGGTGCAGGGGACTCCCTGCTCCCACTGGCACCCTGTCCCCTGCTGCAGAACCCTGCCCCCCAGCACCCTGTCCCCTCTCCCCCACTGCCACCCTGCCCCCATTGCCACCCTGTTCCCTGCCCCTGCACCCACTAGCACCCTTCCCCAGTAGCATGTCCCCTGCCCCCACCAGCACAGTTGGGGCCACATTAGTGAGACTTGGGGGGGGGTTGGAGGAGGGTTTTTTTCAATCTCCCTTGTGTTGCCCCAACTGATTGTTCTGTGGGTCAGTGACCCCTGATTCAAAACAGGTTTCCTGCCTTTCTCATAAATAAAGACAATGGAGAAACTTTTTGTGTTTGACATAGTCTTTATTTAAAAATGAAGCCTGGCCAACAAACCCCCAAGTGGGGCCAAGCCCCCATCTGGCCACAGCATTATAACACTCTTGCACCCCCAGACACTAGATCTGAGCCTATCATAAACTGGAACCCTCTGCCCTGAGCCTCTCACGTACCCCAACCCAAATTCCTGCACCCTCACATCCACAAGCCTCGGGCTTGCTTAGTAGCCCAACCTCCATCTGACCTCAATGCTCCCCAGCCTGGAGTCCCCTCCCTGACCCAGTGTCCCCTTCTCCACCTCCCCCTGCATCCAGATTTCCTCCCAGAGCTTGCGCCTCTCTCCCCTTCCCAAACCCAATCCCTTATTCCTACCCCAGAGCCCACACATCTTGTCTCAACCCAGTGAGGATACAGCTAGACTGCAGGAGTTTTTCCAGGATTCTAGAGATATCCCGGAAAAACTCTTCTGCATCCAGGGACGCGTTTGTTCTTCCATTTTTTTAGTGGAAGAGCAAACATGCTATTTCAGTAACCCCTATATTCCTTGTTCCACAAGGAATAAGGGGGCTGCCAAAAGAAGGGTTTTTTTCTGACAATTGGTCCAATCATGACAGGCTAAATGTTGGAAAAATCTCTTCCTTCAGAAGAATCGGGAAAAAAAAGTGGCAGTGTAGAGTGTATAAGGGCTGGGGATAACAAGTGATGGAGAGGAGGAGAATAGAGAGGGCCAGGCTTCAAGGAAGGGGTGGTCTCTTGGGCGGGAGAGGTGGGGCAGTAGATCTTCACTTGTTTTGAGATTTAAAAAGAGATCTTGGGTTTAAAAAGGTTGGAGACCACTGAACCCGTATGTCTATGTTCAGACAATGGCTTTTCTTCCTCACAGAGCATCTGCTTCTGCTCCTGCTGCTTGGTTCTAAAGTGCTTGTTAACTTTGTGATATTACAATCATAGCCATGGTAACAGCCTGTGATGTCAATAATTCACAATTATGACTTCATCACAGGATCTGTCTACTTCAGGGTTTCTTATAATGCACATTGTGGCTGTATACAAGTGCCAGTGAGTCAGAAGAGCAGCTGGAGTGTTGTTCAGACATGAATCCCGGAGGCAATGACAGCAGAAAACTGCATTTTTGAAGATGGTGCCCTTCCCCCTGACTTATTTGAAGAGGAAATATAGATATAAAATATTTAGCTGTTGTGCAGTGAAGCCTCCTGTTCCATATTATGCCAACATTTTGGAACATTCCCTTAACTCCTATCCTTAATTTTGCCCTGGTTGATAGGTATATCTCCATATATATCTATCTCATACAGCTGAAAGGGACTTTGAAAGGTCATTGAGTCCAGTCCACTGCCTTCATAACAGAGCCAAGTACTATTCCTGATAGATTTGCCCCAAATCCCTAAATGGCCCCTTCAAAGATTGAGCTCATAACCCTGAGGTTAGCAGGCCAATGCTCAAACCACTGAACTATCCCTCCTCTGTTATGGGGTGTGTTCATGTTACATGTAATGGTGGTGAGGGTGCTGAGACCGTAACATCTGTAGACTGAAATCTGTGGTTTATCCATGCAACAAGCATAGTATGGGCAGTGTGACCTCATTGTATCAGTGTTTCTCAATTCAGACCATGAGCTGAAACTATCTTTCTATAGGTGAAAGATCTTATGAATTATCTTTCTAGAGGTGAAAGTAAGTTCACTCTACAGACCTGCTCACTTCCCTTCCTCTCTCCTGTGGCCAGTTGTGGTGATGGTTTGGTGTCAAGAATCCTTGTCCGTTGGGATCTGGACTGAAATAACCAAGGGTATGTCTACACTACCACCCTAGTTCAAACTAGGGTGGTAATGTAGTCAACCGGAGTTGCAAGTGAAGCCCGGGATTTGAATTTCCCAGGCTTCATTTACATGTTGCCGGGCGCCGCCATTTTTAAATGTCCGCTAGTTCAGACTCCGTGCCCCATGGCTACACGCGGCACGAACTAGGTAGTTCAGACTAGGCTTCCTATTCCGAACTACCGTTACTCCTTGTTCCACATGAAATAAAGAGGAATGACAAAGGGAGGCAGAAGAAACAGAGACGAGATGACTGCCTCAGGTCACACAGCCATTTAGTGGCAGAGCTAGGAATATAACAGGTCTTTTGCTTCCCAATCTAGTAAGTCCTGCTAAAATGCTTATAGTTTGTTATTTTTTTTTCCATATTTTACTGCCACCTTACACTTATTTTCCTACTGTTTGGGAACTTTCCTGTTTGGCAAATATTTTGGTACCTGGTTTCTCAAGAAGCAAGCCAGTCTTTTTCAGAAGTTACCAAATGCTTTTGAGATAAGGCAAGTCATTTTCTAATCAAACTAATATTTACTCCTTAGAATCAGATTCTGAAATTCATACTCAATTTTTCTTGTAGCAAAATTCCAACTGACTTCAACAACTTTTGCTTACAGAAGGGCTCAGGAAGCCTGTTTTGGCTGATTATTCTTATTTGATATCCTATAGAACACAAAAGTCAATCCAAAAAAATGTAAAAAGCTACCGAATATTGAATGCAAACAGACTTTTGCAGACTGCAGCACTAGTGACAGGGATTATTGGCATAATCAATGCAGTACATGTAGGAGCGTCTGAACAGACTGAAAGTTAATAGTTGAGGGAAAGCCAAGCAGTGAACCCCCAAAAAGCTTACATAAAAAGGAATCTTAAAGAGCATCTCTTTCAGGTGAATCATCTAATGATGTGTGGTTGTGCTTTCAACAGCTTCTGGCAAGCTTTGTGCATTCATAGGTAACAAACGTGAACTTGTCCTCCTGTACGTTGTGCCTCTGTCTCTACAGGAAGTGGGGCAAACATACATTAGTGTCATGAATAAACAGTGGCCATTGTGTTTTTCAGTTTCTGAGATACAAAGTAATGATTTAAAACAGAATAAAACACCACAAAAACCACTCCAAACAAACCAGATGCAAGATTTTCAGTTGGTGTAAATCATTATATTGACTGCAGTTGAATTATGCTATTGTGCTCCAGATGAGGGCCTGGCCCTATATAGTTACCAACTAGAGGACATTCTTCCTCCATTTTTAACAGTTCTAAGGAAAGTCACTTTTTTGAGCCTCAGCTGCTTGACAGTGTTCCTCTGGTGCATTCTAGACTGTTAGTCTTGGCCACAGAATCATTCTAGGCTCTTGTGGCACAGCCAAAGGATTTGGATTACTTTGCCATCTGTGGGATACACTCTGCAGTCAGCAATAATTAGATGCAGAGTACCAAGCCCAAGGCCAAAGTCAACAAAAACCATGGCTCAGGTCTTGGGGTGCCATGCTGCCACTTCGTGCCAGTGCTACTCCATTATTGGAATCTGGGCACAGAACTAGCATAACCAGCTACACGGTTTCCTCCAAATGTAGCTCCCCACCCCTGGGATGCCAGCATAAAAGGGGTGGCTGAGAGAAAGGAGGCATGGCTAGGACATCTCTATGTTCTGACAGTGCCCCAGTGCTGTATGTGCTCTTTAGGACCATTGGCAACCTGAATTTAGAGCAGCTTTTGTTACTCTTTCTGAACAGAGCTATGTGCTCTCTGGTGGCAGCTGAAGTTCTGGGTTCAGGCAATTTTCACGGAGATTAATCTCTGATTTATGGGAGATTTTGCTATGACATTGGTTACTGAATTTTGTTTCTGGGCAAGTGAGGTGTTTGTTGCATTAGTGAGTACCAAATGTAGTAGAGGCAAGTGCTATATCAGCTCTCTGCTAATGCACCTCAACCCACATCTGTGATGTCAGTTGTTGTGTTGGCCCTGGGACACAGAGAGCTGTACCTGTGCAGTGAACCCTGCCAATCTGTTCCTAGCTCTCTTCTGAGCATAAGTTTTACCTAATGTGATGTGAACAAATGGGACCCCGGATGAAACCATCAAACTCAGCTAACTTTCATTGGTGACTTATGTCAGATTTGAATTTGGCTCGTTAGTTCATTAGCCCACAGTTCCACCTAAGCCCCCGAGACCTTTCTTTATTAGGTTCTCCGCTTCACAGTCGCCACTGTCTGTCATGTCCATCTGACCAATGGGAGTGAGAGAACCAGATTCTAAACCTTGTGGTGATAGAACTGCTCTGCTCACTAACACTGGACAGTTCTGAAGAGGCAGGTGTTCAGGTAACCCCTGTTTCTTCTCCTGTTCCAGTGGTGTTTCAAGGGTCACTGCATCTGGAAGACTTCAGAGCAGCCTTACAGCCAGGATGGCAGCTGGAGTTCCTGGTCCAAATTTGGCTCCTGCTCCAGGACATGTGGGGGTGGGGTGCGCTCCCGCAGCAGGAACTGCAACAACCCACCGTAAGTTTGGCTTTCTGCTAATTCTCTTAGTGCTTGCCACATTGTACCTGGCAAAGAGCAAGGCCCTCCTCCTTCTCCCTCCCCAGTGGGTCAGTCACCAGGAAGGAGAGAGTGTTGCTCTGGACAATTGAGTAAGTTGGAGAAAGGAAGGGACATACATACCTATGTACCACAGCACTGAGTGCCAGAGCATTAAAGGAACTCTCTTTCCCAGTGCCTAGCAAACTTCAGTCATATGCTTGTCCATCTGTTCTATAGCTCAGCTCTGTACTATAAGTCATGGGCAGCTCTTATGGTCAAATATATAAGATGGGATTGTCAAAGGAGCCTGAGGGAATTAGGCTCTTAGCTCCTATAGGATTTGTCTTCTGCTCCCTTAGGCTCCTTTGAAAATCCCAGCTATAATCCCTAATTTAAACACTGAGATACAATTTGTTTAACTTCTTGTCTTCACATGCACCTAATAGGATTGAAGCTTGACGTAATCAAACTGAGCTGGTCACCTTCCTGCAACCCAGAGGAGAGCCAACATTAAGAACTGCTGTCAAGGCAGATGGGCTCCAAACAGCTCGAACCCAGCTTCTTGGTTCAGTAGCCTGTTGATAGCAGCTAGCAGTTATAGAATCATAGAATCATAGAATAATAGGACTGGAAGGGACCTCGAGAGGTCATCGAGTCCAGCCCCCCGCCCTCAAGGCAGGACCAAGCTCCACCTACACCATCCCTGACAGATGTCTATCTAACCTGTTCTTAAATATCTCCAGAGAGGGAGATTCCACCACCTCCCTTGGCAATTTATTCCAATATTTGACCACCCTGACAGTTAGGAATGTTTTCCTAATGTCCAATCTAAACCTCCCCTGCTGCACTTTAAGCCCATTACTCCATGTCCTGTCCTCAGAAACCAAGAGGAACAAATTTTCGCCTTCCTCCTTGTGACACCCTTTTAGATATTTGAAAACCACTATCATGTCCCCCCTTAATCTTCTTTTTTCCAAACTAAACAAGCCCAGTTCATGACTTCATTGCTCTTATCTGCTGGCAGGGGATCAAAATCCTAACCTGTGAGCCAAGTGTGCTCCCATGGACTCTCAAACTGGCACAAAGTTGATAGTGGTAGGTATGAATTGTAGGCTCCCCACTTTGGTGCTTTCAGTGACTAACACGATATAAATAGGTCTTTCTGTGCATATGTATAGGTGTTTGTCCTTTAATGTGAGCATAGTTTAGACTTGGCTATGGGAAAGTCAGTCACGTAAAGAGAAAAAAGGTTTCATAGAGATCTTTGGACAGTGTTACTAGAGTTAAAGTTTTCCTGGGTCCTCATGCTGTTGTTGTAGAACAGAGGAACTTCCAGACTTCACAGAGTCAGTCATGAAGGCCTGTCTCACACAAACCCAAGTAGAACTGTGGTGCATCACCCCTTGCTGAAATAGTTTCACAATTCTTTATTCCCCTTTTTATTTTCTAGTCCAGCCTATGGTGGGCGCCATTGTCCAGGCGCCATCTATGAGTACCAGGTATGCAATACTGAAGAGTGTCATGGCCCCTATGAAGATTTCCGTGCCCAGCAGTGTTCTAAGCGGAACTCCTACTATACCCACCAGAACTCCAAACACACCTGGCTTCCTTATGAGCACCACGATGGTGAGTGGAAATGGAGCATTTGGCCAGGCAGTGCTAGTGTAGCCATTGACCAGATGTGTGTGGGCTGTGTACATCTTCAGGGGACCATTGAGAAGAGATTGGAGAGGCTACAGTATAGTAATGGGGATAGCTGTTTCTTTGGACAGTTTTGGAATTGGCTCTGGGTTACCACAATTTATGGCCTCTGTGGGTTTTTTCCTTGCTATTGGAATGACACTGCTGCCACCACTGTTTGCCTACTGCAGTGGCTCCTACAAGTATACTTGATTATCTCTTCCACCTTGCTAGGACACTATCAAAGCCGTGTTGTCATTTAAAGAGAAAAAAATTGAATTGGTTTTTCTGTGATATCTTTCATACGTGTCTGATTTCAGTGCTCTTTAAAGACAAGGGGTGAAAAGCTCCATACTCCATCACCAGTCCTTCGGGTTCTCCAAAATCACCATCTCTTACTTACAGAGGTCTGTGTTGAGGGTTTCCACTACAAGAGCTAGGGACACCACAAGCACTCATAGACTCATAGACTTTAAGGTCAGAAGGGACCATTATGATCATCTAGTCTGACCCCCTGCACAATGCAGGCCACAGAATCTCACCCACCCCTCTTAGTATAATCCTCTCACCTATGTCTCAGATATTGAAGCCTTCCAATACTTTGAAGGCCCCAACATGCAGAGAGTCCTTCAGCTGTGATCTGTGCCCAATGCTACAGAGGAAGGCGAAAAACCTCCAGGGCCTCTGCCAATCTACCCTGGAGGAAAATTCCTTCCTGACCCCAAATATGGCGATCAGCTAAACCCTGAGCATGTGGGCAAGACTCACCAGCCAGACACCCAGAAAGTTCCCTATAGCAACTCCTATCATCCCTCCATTGACCTATTTCCAACTGGAAATGAATGGTCAATTAGTTACCAAGATCATGTTATTTCATCCAACCATCCCCTTATCATAGAATCAGAACTGGAAGAGACCTCAGAAGGTCGTCAAGTCCAGCCCTCCGCTCTAGGCAGGACCAATCCCATATAAGGGTTATTTCGAGTGAAGGTTTTTTCTCGAAATAACCGTGTCTTAACAGCATCTGTTATTTCGAAATAGTGCCATAACGCAAATATGCAAATGAAGCACGGGATATTTAAATCCTGGCTTCATTTGCATCCCTCTCTCAAAAGAGAGTGTAAGTGTAGATATACTCAAACTGATTTTCAGATATATAAGGACCATGTGCCTTGGGTGTTCCTTGATGCAGTCCATAAGTTGATCTTACTGACATCATGGTTGGGGAGAGTGAAGACAAGCCAGCAGAATAAGGGAATTATAACCAGTTCTCTGATCTCTCCCCCACCATCTTTCACCCATAGGCTGTGTCTAAACTACATCCTTCTTTCGACAGAGGGATGTAAATTAGACACTTTGAAAGTGCAAATGAAGCGGGGATTTAAATATCCCGCGCTTCATTTGCATAACCACGTCATGACACGGTCTAGATGCGGTTCTTTCAAAAACGGCACGCTTTTTCAAAAGATCCTGTACACCTCATTTTTTGATGATATTTAAATCCCCGCTTCATTTGCACTTTCAAACTGTCTAATTTGCATCCCTCTGTCAAAAGAGGGATGTAGTTTAGACACAACCATAGGGATCTCTGATTCAGGATCTCTATGTGTTTTAAATATAAATGTATCTGTCTGCTCTTTTTAGATTGGCTTTTTGTCCCTTTTTTACAATCTTTTCATAACATAACGTATTGTTTTACGCTGCAAATTCTGTCCTTAGATATGCACAACTCTCATTGTATTTAAGGAAGCAAATACCAGCTGACTTAATGTGTTGGCAGTTGCGAGGATGTCAGTGGTATTTGCATGTGCGAATCTGCAGGCAGAGTTTGGTGTTTCATTACATACAGAATAATTTCAGATTTCTACAAGGTGTTGAAGTAGCTTGCCCAGTCATGTCCTTCTTACAGCAGGGCCAACAGCCACCATGGGCCAAGGGGCAAGGTGGGGGGCAGAGCCTTGGGCGGAAGGGGCAGGGCCAAGGACAGTCTGTCCTTAGCACAGCCTGGAGCAATTCAAGGGGACCCAGAGCTCCAGGCCCCTTTGAAATACTGGGCCCTGGGGCAGTGTCCCCTTTGCCCCCCTGGCAGAAGGTATGCCTTTTAAGGTCACTCTGGGGGCCCAATAGTTTCTTTGGCTGCTGGGCAAGGTATGGGGGGCAACTTTGCATCCCCAGAAGGGTCAGAACGGAGGGTATGTCTACACTACCCTCCTAGTTCGAACTAGGAGGGTAATGTAGGTATACCACACTTGCAAATGAAGCCCGGGAAATTCAAAACCCGGGCTTCATTTGCAAGTGCGGGATGCCTACATTACCCTCCTAGTTCGAACTAGGAGGGTAATGTAGGTATACCACACTTGCAAATGAAGCCCGGGAAATTCAAAACCCGGGCTTCATTTGCAAGTGCGGGATGCCTACATTACCCTCCTAGTTCGAACTAGGAGGGTAGTGTAGACATACCCCTAGAGTGGAAGGGCCAGGGTCAGGGCCAGAGTCAGCCAGCCCTCAGTACTGCCCAGAGTGTGGTGCAGAGACCTCCCTCCCCCAGCCTTCAGAGCCATGCAGAGTGGCACTCCAGCAGCAATTTAAAGGGCCCCAGAGCTCCAGCTGCCACAGTAGCAGCAACTGCCCTCTGCCCCTCTCCTATTGGCGGGCCTGGATCACTTCATTTGCTGGCTCTGCCAAAGTCAGATTTTAATAAGTTGTGGTTAACATTCACCTGCCTAAATTTGTTGTAAGAGAATATAGAATACTCAGTGGCAAAAGTAGGAGGGAATTGGAGATAAGAAGGGAATGGGTCTGGAGAATATTCTAATCAAAAGTAGCAAATTCCTCTTATTAAGATAATTTTGACTCCATTGTGCGTCCATGGACATGGGTTTTCCAATGTTTTGCTGCAGATGCTCAGAAGTGTGAGCTGATTTGTCAGTCACAGGAAACAGGAGATGTGGTGTTCATGAACCAGGTGGTTCATGATGGTACCAGATGCAGCTACAGAGACCAATACAGCGTCTGTGTCCGGGGGGATTGTGTGGTACGTATGTCACCAGACTTGGGGCCTAACAGTATTGGCCTGTCCACTATTCAAATGAGAGGAAAAGAGAAAGAGCAAGCATGCACCTTTCTGGAGTCAGCAAAATCTTAAACATTTATACATTTTTTCATACTTTTCTATAGAAGTCTAAAATTCCTTTCTGAACTGGAGCACTGTGTGAGAAGCAAATATAGAAAAGGTTCAGGTGTGCTTTTACCCTGGCTTGTCTAGCAATCAAAATGATAGGAAAGCTATGCATGTGTAAGAAACAATTCATGTGCATGGCACTTGCAATGTGAGGAAGCCCATTAGATACTTTGCTCCAGGTTGTTTTATTGCATCACACTGTTGTCAGAAACAGAGACTCAGAGGGGTTTCCACTGCGGAGTGACTGATCATACTGGTAGAGGGGCTAAGACTTCCATCCAAAGCTGGTATCCAGCTTTGGACTTGGAGCTTTCACATGTGTGTGTGGGGGGCGGGGAACACGACTTGGAGCTATCTTATGGTGGTCAAGAGGAAAAGAGACTTGAACCAGGACAACCCTAAAGAGTTGCATCAGCCTAAAAGCTCTTGAGCACCATAAAAGGAGTAGGGCATAGGATATCAGATTTGTCTCCCCAATTGGCATGATGTGAGTGACTGATGATTCAGCAACTGGCAGAATTTTGTGAAGGCTTGCACTGAAAAGTCACTACCATGCTCCCCTGCCATATACATCTCCACAGCTTTTATACTGCTTTCAGGCTGGAAGGTGGCTAATGTGCAGGGTTAGCTATGAGGTGTGTTGCCTGCCTTGAATTTTGAAGCTCTACATATATGATCTTTTTTTTAATAATCTCTTTTTCTCCCTCTGGTGACAGCATGTTGGATGTGACAAGGAAATTGGCTCCTTAAAGCAGGATGACAAGTGTGGTGTTTGTGGGGGTGACAATTCCCACTGCCGGACGGTGAAAGGAACTTTCATCAAGTCTCCAAAGCAGCCAGGTGAGAGTCTGGCCCCAGAGTAGGGGAAGAGTATAGCTTTAATACACGTTTGCACATAACAAATATAACCAGGGTAAAACTTACTCTCAGCTCTGCCTGTGTAAACCTATTCTAGAGTAAGCTCTGTTGAAGACCATTGGTCCTACAGATATACGATATGATGTATGAGATGTACAACTACATCTCGTAGTTTATTATCAGTAGTAGTAGGGTTTATTTGTATTAACCGTAATGCCTAAGGGCCTTAGTTGTTTGCAAGGAGCCCATTGTGACAAGCAGTCTACAAACTCAGAGCAGAAAGATGGTTAGAGTGGTATTGCTGCTGAAATGAAGACTGTCTTTCTAGCCACAAGAGTATCCATAGGCTCAGAATGCTTGCTTATGCCAGTGGCACATTACTTAACAGGCTCTTGCATACAGGCTTTGTGTTTTGTAATTTAAAAAACATATTGAAAAAGAGGAGTAGACCTTTGCCTTACTCTGTAGACACTAGGTAAACACCATTAAAGCCCAGAAATTTAATGGGCATATGCTCAGAAGTGACAGTCATCAGCGTATCATTACTTACTGACTTCAGTGGTGCTCTGCTGGTTGACAGTACCTGAGGGTGTGGTCCTCAGTAACTGACAATGTGATAGCTCCCAACTGTGCTTGGTCTTGTGTTAACTGAGTGAGGGTCCCATCATTTCTTTAGTTAATTACAGTTACTTATTTATGGGATCTATTTCTTTCTGTCTGACTATTATCTGGCTATTTATGATGATTCAAGCTATTGCCCATCACTGATGTAAGGCACTAGAGGAAAAAACTGCCGAGAAGTTACGGTTCTTACACCATGGTGAATTAAATGTTAAACTGCACAGACTGGCATAACATAAGAGGTAGGGATCACCAAATGAAATGAATAGGTTGCAAGTTTAAAACAAACAAAAGGAAGTTTTTCTTCACATAGCACACAGTCAACTTGTGGAACTCCTCATCAGAAGATGTTGTGAAGATGAGAACTTTACAGCATCTTCCAAAGCCTGCTGACTTCAGATCAGGCTCTGGTTGCCTGTTGAGTCCAAGGCTGAGGTGGTCCTCCAGAAAACCCTTGGGCTACATCTACACTGGCAGCTTCTTGTGCAAGAACTGTTTTGCAGAAGAGCTCTTGCGCAATAGGGAAGTGTAGACAGGCAATATGAATTTCTTGCGCAAGAAGCCCCTAGGGCTAAAATGGCCATCAGAGCTTTCTTGCGCAAGACAGCATCCACACTGCCATAGACATTCTTGCGCAAAAGCACATCTCTTGCGCAAAAGCACATGCCAGTGTAGACACGCTCTTGTGGAAGACTTTTGCATCCCTATTGCGCAAGAGCTCTTCTGCAAAACAGTTCTTGCACAAGAAGCTGCCAGTGTAGACGTAGCCCAAGCATTTTCTGGAGGATCACCCCAGCCTTGGACTCAACAGGCAACCAGAGCCTGATCAATGGGCAACTAGAGCTCTTGCGCAAGAGGGCTTATTCCTCGTGGGGAGAGGAATAACTCTTCCGGAAGAAGCTCTGTTTTCCGACGCTGTACTGTACATTTACTTGCGCAAGAACACATGTGCAGTGTAGACACCCGGCAAGTTTTTGTGCAAGAACATTTGTTCTTGTGCAAGAAGCCGCCAGTGTAGACGTAGCCTTGATGTGCTGGGAAGAGGCTATCTCAGCTACTGCTTCCCTATCTGGGCCCACAGGTGGCAGCTTCGTTTAGCTCTCTGCTGTGCCTTGTGAAGGTTATGGAGCTTGCCTCTGTGGTAGATCAGCCTGAGCCTCCAACCTTGCCATCTTCAGTGCATGTTATAAGACTGCCATCCTCATGTAGGTATTTTGCTTCTTGGAGTCTGACCCCTCTAATAAAACACTATGAAGGAAGTGAGAAAAAGCTTTGCTGAGGGTACTGCTTTCCATAAGAGTGCTGAAGATGCTGTTGTAACTTTAGCAATCCATGTGAAAATAAGGTTTTACCTATTCACCTGATCTTTTCCAGGGGTTAGGAGAAGGTCAAAAGAGTGGAAGGGCAAGAGCCATTTTAGAGAAACATGGTGTTGCAAGAAGGGAGAGATGTGATAGGTGCAAGGAAGAATGCAAAGGTTAGCCACAGAATGCTGAGAACCTGATCAGGAGACGAGAAGTTTTGCAGGATTGGGATAATCAGAAAGAGAGTGACAGGAAGCTAGAGCTCTCATTGAAGTAAGAAGTAGGGAGAAGAAGGGGAGCTAGGAGACTGTTAGTTAAATCTTGGGGAAGCTTCACGAGAGGAAACAGGGAGTTATGAGAGAACTGCAGAATGGGAGGGCAAACAACTCCGATTCACATACATTCTAGAATCCACATTTTGTTGATGATTAGTTGAATTAAATGACTGGATCATGCATTTGACCCATAAGTTAATACAAACATAGATTTCCTGTTACCTCAGTAAACTGCCTCCTAGTGTTTTGCTGTATTTATGATTAGCACTGTTGGGTTGGGGCTGATCCTTCAAACATAGAGTTATATAAACCAATCTTTTACAAAGATCAGCAAAAGCAACAGGTGAAAAAAGCACCAACTCTAAAGATCTTCTTCATTTACTTTTGCTCACTGAAGAATCCTTCAAAACCTAGTGGGAATGTAACACAGAATTTAACCTTGACTGCTCTGCTGTCAGTTTTGAGAATGCTTTACTTTGGTTTAATTTTCAGTAGGAGCTTTGAAAATGTTTGAGATGCCGGCTGGGGCCAGACACATTCAGATAGAAGAGATGGAGCCAGCTTCCCATAGCATTGGTGAGTAGTGAACAACCAGAGAGCACAGACAGGCTCAGAGACTAGGACTTAGCTAGTTTGGCCTAGAAACGTTTAAGGCTCAGGTCTAAAATAAATGTGGTAGTCATACTTTCCAAGTATATATAGAAGTGTACACAATATTCAGGTGCATGGATAAAATGGGAAACTGAGTGTAAAAGTATGATTTATCACCCAGATCTCAGTAAAAGGAGTAGCTCTCAGTTCACTTTCTTGCACAAAAGTCAGAGAAGACGAATGTTTGCTCTTATCACAAAACTGCCAGACAATTTAGCCCATTTCTGTGTGACTATGAGCTTCTGCTTAGGAGGAGCCAAGTGACGAAATAACAGAGGGTGGTGACAAAATGAACTATATTGGCAGAACTGGCAGGGGGAGATGCCCACGAGTGGAATAGCAAGGTGTGTTCTGTGTTACAATTGAGGTATGATGTCAAAACTGGGGCCAGCAGGCCAAAGAATTTGTACAATATTTGCCTTTCGTCATGGCTGGTGCTAGCCAATAGTTCTATTCCTTCGCTTGCATAAGCACTACCACTCACCTGAGAAAAAAAGAAAATATAAAATCCTAGGGTCAGATCCTTGGAATGAAGCCTTCTGTGCCTGGCACATTTCAGAAGCAGAAGAATGGTAAGGGACATCTCCCCAACCACTCATGTTTGCACTAGGGGCATAGGGGATAGTGTAGGAGCAGCTATGCTGGCTCTGGGCTGCTTGAGGATTTCTCCACAGATGGGGAAGCCCACGTATCTTGCTAAGCCAGATTTATAGCCCATTTGTGCTGCTAAAACAAGGTCAGGGAGGCACAGAGTGAAGATGGAGTAGCTGTTCCCCAGCCTCCTGCATCTCAATTTGCCGCTCTCCTTTTCTGCTGTCTCCAGAAATCCTTGTTAGTGAACCTTCCAGTGTTGTTGGCAAGTTGAGCCCTGCCTGTGTGATCCTTCAGTGCGAACTCACACAATGCTCCTCTGTGTGAGGTATAGTCTCCGAGGGCTGGGCCTTGAAGCCAAATCTCTTTCAGACATAGGAAGGGTGTGTGTGTGTCTGTGTGTTTTCTTTCTGCTCAGAAGACCATTAATTCAGAAGATGAGTTGGAATGTCAGAGAGATTGGTATGTCAGCAACACTGTCAAACCAGACTGACTGTTTAGAGAAGATGAAGAGAGTTAACATTAAGAAAGCAGGGGGACCATGCAGAGATGAGGGAGTCTGATTCTCTTACAGGGTGGGGAAATAAGAGATACTGGCGGGAGGGGCACAGACTGTGTGGAGCTTGGTCACTTAGATTTTACGCATTTAAAGGGTTATTGCCTGCCAAGACTCCTATCTTGATCACCAGCCTTAAACACACATGCCTGTTCATTCAGGGGCACATATACAGGCTCTTCCATGAGCAGTTGCTCACAACCTTGTTCATCTGCATGTGTGGCCCCTTGAATTCTGGGTCTGAGTCCTCTGCCAGGGCCTCTCAGTTCCAACCGGCATACACCTTGCAGTTCTAATCCTAGGCGCTAGACAGCTGTGCCAGTGCACCTCACTGTTGAGCTACAGCATCTCTGCTATCTCTTTTTGGGGCCCCCCATATGTAAATTCCTAGGGATTTTATCTTAAATGGTCAGTTTGTGATGTGGGAAAACCCATTTCACTTGCCATTGAAGCTACTAATTGAACCCAGATTTTTTCTGTAAAAGATGTAGTGCATTGACCTCTGGCATAGTCCAGCCCTAGCTCTCACCCGTGAATGAGGTTACTTTTGCCCTTCTGGCAGAGGACTAGGCCACAATGAAAAGACTAATAGGACTCCCTTTGCTTGCAGTTGATAATATACAATTAATATACGGGGCCAGAGTTGCAGATGCTGAGCTCCTATTTTGGCACCGAATCCAGAGCCGGATTTTCCAGATTGTTCAGCTCCCAGCTGCTCCCACAGTGACATTTTTGGCCAGATTTTCAAAAGACCAACCGTCTGAGCCTGAATACTGAGATATTTTATATAAATATCTGGCCTGCCATAGGGAATATTTTCACCGTGAAGGTCTATCCATAAAATGCCCATCCTTAGGGATTTTTTTCTGGTCAGTTAAATTCCCATGCATTATGCTCACAATTCATTTTTCTGTTCCTAAAGGACTTTGACAGGGGGAAATTACTTTGTGGGCTTCTTTTTCCAGCTGTAAAGAATCAAGCTAGTGGTGACTTCATCCTTAATGCCAAGTCCAAGGAAGCCAAAAGCAAAACCTTCATTGAGATGGGCTTGGAGTGGGAATACACCATTGAGAATGGCAAGGAGAGCTTGAAAACCAGTGGTCCCCTGCATGAAGCAATCAGTGTGCTGGTGAGTCACACTGGCTTGTCCTGTTGAGATATGATGGGCACACATCATATAGCAGAGCACGCTGTGCAATCACAGTTACAAATTCTACAAGAGCTTGGTACAGAATGTTGAATGGAGTAGAGGAACTTCACTGTGGACGCACAAATGATGTAAATCCCACAAAACTCTTAAAAGTTATTAAAATAATTGAAATCAACTAGCCACATTCTAATGGCAATAAGATACTTCAAGATATTCAGAATCAAAGCATAAAATCATTGCCTACCAATACACACTCTGTTGTGGCTTATACATGCATTAATGGGAGTTAAATATCTAGATTCCCTATGCCTTCATGGATGAAAAACTCATCCTCTCTTCCCCCAATCTCTTGGATTACATGTTCACTTACTGGTATAGACTGTTACGAACAATGCTTCTATGCTTCCTTGTGTGTTAAAAGTTATAATATAGGTTCCTATTTATGCAAACAAGGGAGTAGGTTCTGTGTATGAAATCTAGAGTTTCAGCATGTATCATGGGCATGTTCTGCATGTGCGCAGTGGTCCAGTACAAAGCATGTTCTGTGAGTATTCAAGAATCCTTCAAGTCATTTTAGATTTAATTGAAATATTTTGAATGGATCAAGAGTTCCTCATATTAATTAAAAGTTTTCTCTTTCCTACCTATGATACTTGTTCAATTTCTTTCTTGTTACTTTCTTCTTCTTTCTTCTACTTTTTATGTAATGTATCTACATGCTACATTGTCATGGTTTGTATCCTCTTTTAATTACTCTCCTCCTTCCTCTATCATCCTTTCCCACAATTTCATTCTCTTTCTCTTGTCTTTGCTCCTTCTATACTGTCTTTCTTCTTTCTCTGTTCCCAGGTTATTCCACAGGAAGATGAGTCCAAGAGCAGCCTGATGTATAAGTACATTATCCATGAAGACCTGCTGCCAGTGATTGGAAACAATAATGTTCTTCTTGAAGAGATGGATTCTTATGAATGGGCCCTCAAGAGCTGGTCTCAGTGCTCAAAGGCATGCGGAGGAGGTCTGGTTCTCTTTTATATGTCTGTAAAAATGTGATACCTATACACAATTGCCTGTATGTCACTATCATATTTCTTGGACCTGTAGGATAGTAAGAGTCATACTAGACCTCTGGGTTCTAAATTTCCATATACCTTAATTACCATATTCTCTATTCTTTGGCAATTCTAAGTCTTACATTCCAGAATGCTTTGCAAGACAATCTAACATCCTTTGGCAGTGCTTTGATAAACTGCTTTATTTAAATATGGTTGGATGCCTCATCTGATGCTCCAATTTGCTTAAGATTTCTAGGGCTTTATGGAACCTGGTAATTTGAGTGTCACAGGAAGATTTCCTTAACTGAGATTACAAAAATTTCTAGTGCACCTGCGATTATGCAAAAACAACATTCACACATAAGAAACGGCACCTTGTGGCAATGGCCTACTTAGAGCTACTCCCTTTTACACTCACACTGTGTCTGAGCAGAACTTGGTTGCTGTCAGGATGCATTCAGGAATCCAGTTCTAATTTTCCAGAGATGAAATGACATAACCTTTTGCCTACATAGCAACTAGCAACCGTACGTGTCAGGCAGGAATATGGAAATGACCAAGGTATTGTAGACTGAGGTAGCAATATCTCTTCATTATCTCCCTGTTGACTGCAAATATATTTGCTGGGTTTGTGTGGGTATAGACTCCTAGAGGAAGTATTGTCTGGCTGCATTATGGCTCTTTGTATGACATGCTGAACTCCGTTGTTTGAGTGCAAAGTCATAGCAGAAAAAAAGCAAGAGGAGCTAGTTAGTGGGATCCAACTAATGGTCATGAAGGTGGAGTTCTAAACCAAATTGTGTGTCAAGGTCATTCTCACCCAGCTGCATAAGGCACCCGAAAATGTGTGGCACCACTGGGTCTTAATGTGCACCTATCTGCTCCTTCTATTTCTGTTCTGTGGCAATTGCAGCCTAGTGACTCTTTTTCTGGAGACGAGTTAGTTAATTTAAAAGTGAAATGGCCCATGAAAGAATCATTCAAGTGGTAGGGAAGCCAATTAACAGGTATATACTGTCAGTTTCTGAATTTACTGTTAATCTATTGGTCCTTAATTTCAAATTTGCTTTAAAATTTTAGTATGTTGTTGAAGATTATAAAATCATATACAGCTTGAACCTTTGTGATCCAGGACTCTCTGGTCCAACAATATCTGTGGTCTGGCAGGAGCACAGATGTTGCAGGATTAGAGAGCCCCAGCAGCAGAGGTTGCTGACTGCTTGGATTGGAGCCAACTGAAGGAGCCTGCGGGGCACCAGAGTCCACAGCTGGGGAGAGGAGGAGGGGTTGGAGCTCATGAGCAGGGGAGCTCACAGCTGGCAGGGCCGCTGGGAACTCAGGCAGGGTTGCTGCGAGGCTGGCTGCCACAGGGGCAGGAGGGCTGCCAGGAGAAGACTGGGAGAGGAGCCCAATGAGGAGGCTGCCTCTCCCTTCCAGACCTTGTCTGAAACCGGTCAGGTTCCAAGGCTGCCAGACCAGGGAGGTCCAACCAGTATTTAAAAATTGTCCCTCCCCCTTGCACTGCCATTGGCTATAGAGTCACCTATTTAACAGTACTGCATAGAGTCCCATAAATCTTAAGGAAGTTCCTGTTGTGTGTGTACTGGCGATTCACTTCTTCCCTGTGTGTTGTTCTGTCTGTGCTTCTTTCAGGTATCCAGTACACCAAGTATGGCTGTCGGAGGAAAAGCGATAACCGGATGGTGCATCGAAACTTCTGTGATAATGGCAAGAAACCAAAGCCAATCCGGAGGCGATGTAACCCTCAGGAGTGCTCCCAGCCAGTGTGAGTTCTCTCGTGCTCTGTCTGCAGTGCCTGCATGAAAGTGCTCAGGTTTAAGGCAGGAGGCACTGATCAGTTTCCATTATTGGTGTTGGTGCCAGAGCTACCATGAGGTGCCCTTCTCCCTCCTCCTGCCTATGTCAAAGAGGTGGAGGGATCCAAATACTGCAATGAATGTGTTGTTTTCTGTTAAATCCCTCCCCCTGCTAATAGACCCATTCTGAAAAGTACAAAAGGAAAACATCTTGGCGACCCAGTACTGTCTGTATAAGGCAGGTACATGTGCAAGGAAACTGACCAAGACATAGGTCATGGAAAGCATAACCATTCCTAATGGGTTATGTAGGCTGTCCTGGAAGGACCAAGACAAACTTGCCATTGTTTGGCCATCTAGAGTCTAACATGTTTGATCAGCACAAAACCCAACTGTAAAGCTGTTAGGGACAGATTCTCATGATCAGCACAAACCCCAACTGTAAAGCTGTTAGGGACAGATTCTCAGTTTCTGTAAATCAAGTAGCTCCATTGGATTCAGTGGAGTTGTCTCGATTTACACCTGCCAAGGATTTGCTCCTTAATCTGAAGACTATGCTACAGCTGAGTATATGAGCTTCCAGATCTCTTCCAAGGACTCTTAATCTGTGACCTCAAGTCTCCAGAAAGATAAACCAATCAGAATCTGAAAAAGTCCAACTGTTCTCCCCCTCAGCCCTTTGACAGTGCTGTATTTTAATGATTCAGCTGGATGGCAGAGGAATGGGGAGCCTGCAGCAAGTCCTGTGGCAAGCTAGGAGTTCAGCTAAGGGTGGTGCAGTGTGTCCATCACCTTGTAAATGGCACAAACCGGACGGTGCACACCAAATACTGCACAGGAGATCGCCCGGACACACGCAGGGCCTGTAGCCGATTGCCCTGTCCAGCCCAGTGGAGGATGGGGGCCTGGTCTCAGGTGAGTAAGCCTAGGTTCTGTCATGAATGTGATGTTGGGACAGAATAAAGCTTTTATTCCAAGGATCTGCAGATCTGTAGTTGTTTGCTTCCTGATTCAAAAGCCCCAGAAAGCACGATCATCTTCTATCTCGGTATCCTGTTGGTACCCTTCTATCTTGGTACCCTACTTTCAAAAGAACTGGCTTCCCTGCTAAGGATAACTCAGCAATCTTTGGTACTTGGTGGCCTTGCTGAGTAGCTGGGGATTAGCACTGAAACCTCTCTTATGTGGTGCTGAGAGTGTTTTCTCAGTCAAGGAGGATATTTTTATACAGCACACACAGTGTAACATTATCTGGAGAGCTATTTCATTCTAAGTGCCTGAGCCAAAGCCCAGTGAAGTCAATAGCAAGATTTCCATTGAATTCCTTGGGCTTTGGATTGGACCCTAGAGGTTTATTCTTATCAATAAACTAGGCAAATACAACTTAGATGGGGCTACTATAAGGCTGGTGCATAACTGGCTGGATAACCGTACTCAGAGAGTAGTTATCAATGGTTCACAATCCTGCTGGAAAGGTATAACAAGTGGGGTTCTGCAGGGGTCTGTTTTGGGACTGGCTCTGTTCAATATCTTCATCAACGATTTAAATATCAGCATAGAGAGTACGCTTATTAAGTTTGCAGATGATACCAAGCTGAGAAGGGTTGCAACTGCTTTGGAGGACAGGGTCATAATTCAAAATGATCTGGACAAATTGGAGAAATGATCTGAGGTAAACAGGATGAAGTTTAATAAGGACAAATGCAAAGTGCTCCACTTAGGAAGGAACAATCAGTTTCACACATACAGAATGGGAAGCGACTGTCTAGGAAGGAGTACGGCAGAAAGGGATCTAGGGGTTATAGAGGACCACAAGCTAAATATGAGTCACCAGTGTGACGCTGTTGCAAAAAAAGCAAACATGATTCTGGGATGCATTAACAGGTGTGTTGTGAGCAAGACATGAGAAGTCATTCTTCCACTCTACTCTGCGCTGGTTAGGCCTCAGTTGCAGTATTGTGTCCAGTTCTGGGCACTGCATTTCAAGAAAGATGTGTAGAAACTGGAGAAGGTGCAGAGAAGAGCAACAAGAATGATTAAAGGTCTAGAGAACACGAACTATGCAGGAAGACTGAAAGAATTGGGCTTGTTTAGTTTGGAAAAGAGAAGAATGAGAGGGGACATGATAGCGGTTTTCAGGTATCTAAAAGGGTGTCACAAGGAGGAGGGAGAAAGATTGTTCTTCCTGGCCTCGGAGGATAGGACAAGAAGCAATGGGCTTAAACTGCAGCAAGGGAGGTTTAGGTTGGACATTAGGAAAAAGTTCCTAACTGTCAGGGTGGTTAAACACTGGAATAAATTGCCCAGGGAGGTTGGGGAATCTCCGTCTCTGGAGATATTTAAGAGTAGGTTAGATAAATGTCTATCAGGGATGGTCTAGACAGTATTTGGTCCTGCCATGAGGACAGGGGACTGGACTCGATGACCTTTCGAGGTCCCTTCCAGTCCTACTATTCTGTGATTCTATGATAAGTCCTGTATTAATGCAAATCACCTAGAAAGCAAGTAAATTCTATAGTGAACTCGATAATGGCACTGAGAACAGGTGAAAACATTGTTTGGGTTTGTAGGAAGACAAGAGAAAAGTTGAATTCCATGTAGTCCCTTTAGAATAGACAAGGGTGTGTAGGTGGGCAGGGTAAAGCCTCCGGCTAGCCCAGAAGAAAACTATGTCACTGGTGGCAAGGTAGGTATGTGGGAATAGAGAGGGCACTTATTATGGGTGACCAGTGGTATCAAACCTAGAGGGAAATATTTGGTATTTAATGTGCTTCAGTGTATTTGAGAGAGTCACACCTTTCATCTCCAGAAATAACTGTTATGATATGAAGAGGAAAGTCATTCTGCCTTGGAAGGTTTAGCAGTATCTAGGCAAGAAGACAAATTTTCCCAGAGCCAGGAAGATATCCTTTAGTTGGGTGTTTATATACGTAGTCTTGCACATGTGCACAGACACACACTCACTACTTTTTGAAGCCCCTTGTTGCATTTTGATGTCTCCATCCACTCACTCCCCCTCCCCATCACTGATAGGTGTCTTTTTTCTCCCCCTTGGTGGTTTGATACAGTGCTCAGTCAGCTGTGGAGAAGGCATGCAGCAGCGCCAGGTGGTGTGCAAGGCCAGTGACAATAGCATCGGGCAATGTGAGGACGAGAAACCTGAGACTGTCCAAGTCTGCAAAATGGCAGTGTGCCCAGGTGAGAGGAGCCGCTATGTCACTGGAGCAGACTCTCCTAGAGTCAAACTGAGAAATGATCAGTGATGTAGTAAAAGCTGGACCCCTTTGCACTTAGCAGGTCTATTTCACTGATGTGTAAGACTAGGGAAGGTGATGTAGTTTACATGCTCAGGAGCAGAAGAAGGTGTTACAAGATATACGTTAAAAATTCAAGTTGTTCCTGAAAATCCACGACCCTAGGTACAGGAAGTCACACGTTCCCATTTGCTTCAATTACAGCAGCTGCTGTTACTATCTTGATAGAGTACCTGTGCTGTGCTCTAAATGTACTAATCAATAAGCCCTGATGTTCCATCAGCTTCAGGGGGATGTTCATGGAACAATGGCAACATCACAAGTGACCTTGCGGACCAGCAAGGAAACAATTTAGCATATAAGAATAACTTTGCCAAAATGTACAGCACTCCTGGTCTTTCCAGTCTTCATCCTCTCTTTAGGACCAGAGGTCATGTACATTTTTCTGATGGTGTTGCAATGTGGGAATAATGGATGATTAAGGTGAGACCATCAAACTTATTTTAATACTTGGCTGAGATTTTTAACTGTGATTTGGGATGCCTTAGTTTTTGGGTGCCCAATCTAAGTTTCCTTAAAGGGGTCTAATTTTCAGAAAGCCAAACACCTGCTCTCAGAAAATTAGGTCTTTTTTTAAGGTGCTCAAGTTGCACATCCAAAAATTGAGGCACCTGAAACCCTTTTTACTTTAAAAGTCTTGACAGATCTCTAGAAGACAAGAGCTGGGGCAAGGAGCTCTCCCCAGCACATACACTACACACTGTATTGTAGAAATGCCTCTGTGTGGCTAATTTTTATGACAAATTGTTTTGGCCTGTATCTACATACAGGAAAGCTACCGAATATTGCAGCAAATGCAGACACCAGTGATCATGTGACTCCGAAAGTACAGTGGGTGCCCCAGGATGGGCCCAAGAATCCTGTAAACAAGATATCTTCAAGTAAGTTTCCCCTCTTCCTAAGTTTGTCTCTTGGAGCAGAAGTCTCTTTGCCTGCATTACTCAGTAAGAATTCTGCTATTAAATATTTATAAGTCGCCCTCTTCCTCTTCCATGACTGAAGTGGAAATAACTTAATGGAGGACACCAATTTTTGGAGGCTAATGGACACCTTTCTCAAAGGGAAATCAAAAGGCTAATGCCCCATAGTGGACACCAGTTGAGAATATAAGCGTAGCTTGGTTGCACTCTGAAGTTGTCAGCTACCACGCTAAGATGGGTTAGCTGGGAAGTGCCCCACCATCTCTCTGTTTCATGCCTAGTGAGACTGAAGTTAGGCCACTCATGCTGCTCTTTGCCCCTCTCTAAAGTCAGCATTCAGCACTCACCTGAGATACCTGTTCAGAAAACAGACCTTTGTGACACTGTTCAAGTGTCATTAGTTCTCTTCCCCATTTCTTCCCTGCCACCTCCCTGCTCCCCTGCTCAAGTTGGAAGAAGACTCAGAATCTCTTCTGAGGGCTTGTCTACACAACCCGGCTGTCCACCTAAGTTACACAACTTCAGGTTATGTGAATTACGTAACTAAAGTCAGTGTACTTAGGACAGCTTACTATGGTATCTTCACTGCAGTAAGTCAACAACTGATGCTGTCCCGTCAATGCTGCCTACTCTTCTCGTTTTGGTGGAGTACCAGAGTTGATGGGAGAGCACTCAGCTGTCAGTTTATCACATCCCTTGACAATTAAGGTATCACCTTTGTCCATAACCCTGAAATTAGGGTGCCACCTAGTGGCCCTTATTATTCAGTTGCAAGGATTTCCCTATTAAATAGCAAGATCCGGACATACAATTCAACTCTTCTGTCATTATGGGCATTGTGTCTTTGTTTAGAAAGAAGGTGGGCACTGCTCTTGGGCACTGCTTACTTTATTTCTATAATTTCTTCCCTTTCCTGTTTGTCTCAGCTGACAGCAGCTGTATGGGATAATTGGAAACCCATGTATGCAGTGATTTTGGATATGTCGTGCTCGTTATTTTTGTATGTCCTGGTTACACTCACTGTCTTCTTTATGCATATGCTTGTCACAGAAGAGCCTTGCCTTGGGGACAAGTCCATATTCTGCCAGATGGAAGTTCTGGCTCGCTACTGCTCCATCCCTGGCTACAACAAACTCTGCTGTGAGTCCTGTGGCAAAAAAGTCTCCACCCCCAGTGTGCCACCTACTGTAGACCACGATGCTTCAGAGACTGGAACTCCCAAGGGTGCTCTCTCTCCCAGCCTGGTTACACCAATGCCCTTTCATCCCACTGCCCAGCACCGCCTGCATAGGACACAAAGCACAGCTGCCAAAGAGACAGATGGGTCCCAGGCTGCTCATGTCCAGCAGTCCAGCACAGAAGGTTCAGCTGCCCATGGAACCTCTTGGGCTAAAGCTGCCACCCCATCGCGGGGCATTTCAATTGATGATACTTCCCAAGTTGACTCCTCAAGACTACTACCTCCTAGCCGGAAGGCTGCAGCAGGGCAGAGTCCTGGGAAACTTTGGGGCAGCACTGCCTTTCAGTGGTTCCCTCCTGCCTTGAACAAACCTTCTGCTGGTGCACACAGTGAAAGTGATTCTTCTGTCCCATCCCAGGGCATAGCACGACACCGAAGGCTCAGTACAGGATCCGAACAGCTGGGGAACAGTCTCAGGGCCTCCTCCCCTGTTGTGACATGAAACATTTCCCCAACATCTCTCTTGGCGATGGTTTACATGGGCAGAGCAGCCATGTTTCTGAGCGACTTCCAGAAACGACTGAGACACATATTTAAAAACCAAACAGAAGGCTTCCGAAAATATGGCTTTGTTTTTATGAATTTTCAGCCGTGGCACTTTTAAATTCTTTATTGGAATAACAAAAAATAAATCAGCTCAAAGAATCAAACAAAAGGACAGGACAGCAGTGGCCACTGGGTTGCTAATGAACCACAGACAGTGGCTGAGCGGGCATAGCTTGTGTAGCCCACACCTGGTTACCTCAGAGACTGGCTTGAATCCAGGAGGCATTTCCTTCCAAGGTGCTACAAAGAGATATTTCGAGCAATAAAACAAAATGCAACAGAAACAACCTTTGCCCCTTCTCAGCCCAGTCCGCACTCATCTGCTGCTGTTATCCATGTGGCATGGACCATAGTGGACTCTGAAATCCTCTTGGAAATGGTGCTGCAAATAGATTTTCTATTCTTAACCTCAATGAGGCGTAGAGCAGGGGACAGGGGAACAGCAGGCCAGATGGACTTGTACTCCATACTCGTGGATGGGGAGATCCTGTTTCAAAAGCAGGGTTGGGGAGGAGCTGTCAGCATCCTGGCCCAGCTGGGAGAGGGGTGGGACAATGCAGGGGTGTTTGGTTTCTTTGGGAGGAGGAGCGTGGTCATTGGAGCACTGTGCTCACAACCTGTCTCCAGCTGGGTAGGGTGTCCTTTCAAGGCTGGCAGCCTGTGTTTGTGTATGGAAGCCCTACACAGTGAGGCAATAGCAAGGCCAGTCTCCAAAGAAAGGCAGAAATGGAGGAAGAAGGATGGAGTGAACTGCAGCGAAAATCAGGGAATTCAATACATAAATATGTTACAGATTCCTCTGTTTGGGAAAGAGGAGAGCAGCCCCTGTGCAGAGCAGCTTGGCTAGTGACTTGTGACTCCTGCAATGCACTTCTCTTCATTTGGCTGTGGGGGGGGTGTGTGCTCATCCTCAAACACTGTCTGGAACGGGGCTGTTTTGATTCTTGCTGAGACCCCCTGGGTAGGGAGGGGCTAAGAGCCCAGGCTCAAGCCCACCCCACCCCCAAACATCTTCACTGCAATCAAATAGCTTGTGGCCTGAGCCCCTTGAGCCCAAGGCAACTTACACAGGCCAGCCCTGAGTGTTTACATTTGGCGTGGACTTACCCATGTGACACTGTTCCTGCTCCCCCAGAAATCAGTGGCAAAAATCCCATGAGCAGGCAAGGTGCTGAACAGCTCCTGAGTGGGCTGACTTCAGTGGCAGGTGAAGATTGGAGCTGGTGTTTGTGCTTTGCAGGAGCCAGGCCTAATCTGGACATGATGGACCCAAATTAGACAAAATAACAGTTGGGGAAAGGCAGGGGAGGGATCACTGCCAAAGAGAATAAAGTAGGCAAGATGGCTGGAACAGGAGGGTCTAAGGGAGAGGCCATGCGTGGCAGATGGATGTTGAGACATGAGTTCAGCTGCAAATCATTTCTCAAAAATACATTTTTCTGAAGTTGATGCTTTCAGTGGGCTTGCTTTTTGTCCCACTGAGCTCAGTGGCGCAATTCCCTGCCGTGTTCAGAGGGAGCAGGATTGTGCGAAGTTGATGCTTACAGTGGGCTTGCTTTTGCTCCCACTGAGCTCAGTGGCACAATTCCCTGCCGTGTTCAGAGGGAGCAGGATTGTGCCCTGTATCTGTCACTGGTGCAGAGAAGAGTGGTGGTCAGCTGATTGGCAATATTCCTGCAGACTCTGGACTGCCCACCCCAGAGAGGTAAGGACAGGTCAGAGTTCAGAAAGCATTAGAACGATCTCATGCCTCATGGGAAGGGCTGAGCCCAGACCGTCTCTTGACTTGGCTGCTGAGGAAGTTCAGCCCTTTGTAAGAAGTGCCAAGCTACCTGAAGGGAAGGGTCCTATCTAACCTTCTCCTTGAGTCAGAGACCACGCTGCTCACTTGCCTCAAACCAGTGCTAGGAGTCATCACATCTGTAGGAAGGTTTGGGGCAGCTGCCCCAGCCCCCATGCTTTGGGAGACCCCACAGGGCCTAGGGTGGCCTGGGAGATTACAAGGGGGTTTGGTGCCAGCGGCAGGAGTTGGGCCAGCCCCCACAGTCACCAGCAGTGGTGGGAGCCATGGGAAGCAGAACAATTCAGCCCCAGCCTGTTCACTTCACCGAGGCAGCAGAAAGCAGAGTAGCCCAGACCCCAGCCTGCTCTACTCCGCCATCTGCCAGCCTGGTCTCCGTGGCAGGAAGCAGAGTGACCTGACCCTAGCCTGCTCCACTCCTCCAAGTGACATGGCTGGGAGCTGGGTTCGAAGGGTGGAGTGGGCTGGGGCCAGGTCGCTCCACTTCCCTCTGCTGCGGTGAGTGTGTTTGTAGGGGGCCTGACTCTGCTGCCAGCCCCAGCCCTAGCTCTCAGTAATTCCCCAGATTGCGTCAATGAGGGGAGGAGGTTTGGGGGAAGAGATGGAGTGGGAGCGGGGTGGGAAGGGGCATGGCCTGGGGTGAATGGGGAGTGTTGTTCAAGGTCTCACATCCCCCTAAAGATGGCCTTACCAATGCTGTGAAAAGAAAGATACTTTTGTTCCCTTCAGGGCCCTGGAGATGTTCCAGCTGGGAGAAACAATTGATGGAGTCTGGTATTTTCTTTGCTGCTGTCTTGTTTATTTACAAGGAACGTGCACAGCCCTCTTTCTCTGATCCTAGGAGGAACCAAGAGCAAAAGGAGTATTTCCTTCGCTTAGTGTCCCAAGCCTCCTTAGCCAGCGGGCCCCAATTTTTTTTCTCACTAACTTTGTCCAGGGTCACACTTTGCTCACCGGCTATTGTCTGGCTTTCTTAGTTTTTCTGTGCCTCTCTGTTATTGTCTCTCTTCAGTTTCTGTGTGGTGTTCTTGTGTCCCCCAACTCAATCCCTCCACCAACACACTTCAGAACTACTGGCTGGGCTCTCTTAGGCTTGTTATAAGTATGGTCCCTTAAACGTCTCCCAGCTATCTACCTACGTGGAGGGTGTATGTGTCTGTTTCATTGTGGGTTTAAACTTAACCCATACAAGGTGTATCCCATTCATATCCATATATTGTTGGTTAGTGCTTCTAAGGCTTTGTTTTTAAATGATGTGTTTGGAATAAGAGGGACTCTATAATATGAATGCAATATATATATATATACACACACACAAGAGTGATAAAAGGGGTAAAAACACTTAAAAACATAATAATTTGTTAAATTAATGAAATTCTTTGAGGCCTTTTGGAAGGAAAGGGGAGCAGTGAAAATGGTTCTTTCTTTTCTGCCTCTTACATTTTTCCATGTTTTACCTTCTGCACTAGGGGTATGTCTACACTACCACCCTAGGGTGGTCATGTAGACAACCGGAGTTCCAAATGAAGCCCGGGATTTGAATTTCCCGGGCTTCATTTGCATAAAACCGGGCGCCGCCATTTTTAAATGGCCGCTTGTGCGGACTCCGTGCCGCGCGGCTACACGCAGCAAGGACTAGGTAGGTCGGACTAGGCTTTCTAGTCCGAACTACCGTTACTCCTCGTGAAAAATGAAGTAACGGTAGTTCGGACTAGGAAGCCTAGTTCGAACTACCTAGTCTGTGCCGCGTGTAGCCGTGCGGCATGGAGTCCGCACTAGCGGCCATTTAAAAATGGCGGCGCCCGGTTTTATGCAAATGAAGCCCGGGAAATTCAAATCCCGGGCTTCATTTGGAACTCCGGTTGTCTACATGACCACCCTAGGGTGGTAGTGTAGACATACCCTAGAAGACTTGTGACATTATAGGCTAAAGCAAAAAATGCTGAGTATCTGGGTTGGAAGTGATTATCTACACGTGGCTGTGAAGATGGGTGGAGAACTGTCTCTCTGTACCTGAGACAGGGCAGGGATAGCTGAGGTGGAAATAAGATCCTCCGGAAAAGGGCGCTTTTTCCGGAGGATCGGGGCCAGTGTAGACGCTCTTTTCCGGCTTTTCTAAAAGCCGGAAAAAAGCGGCGGACATTTTTATTTAAATGCCGCGGGGGATATTTAAATCCCCCGCGGATTTCCCTATTACGATCTCTGAAATTAACATGCCCCTTCCGGAAAAGGGGCCAATGTAGATGAGCCCATAGGGTATATAAAATGGGTTTAGTAAAAGCAAAAAACCGATTGGCTTACAAAGGTGCCTTGGATCCAGGGAGCTAGTAAATTTCATGCCAAACCATGGCAGACTTCTTATTGAAATGTAACAAACAAGCATTCTTAAAAATAATAACAAATACGTAAGGACATGCAGTAATAGGATGTCTGTCATAGAGGCACACACGTTTCAGGAACCATCATGGACCTGTTCATAGGTTTGCTGAAGATATTGGGCCCACTTCTGGTAACAGCTTCACCACTGTGCATCTAAAGTAACCCACTTACTTCAGATTTATACTGGTGTAACAAATCAGAACCTGGCCCTTAGATGACTTCTTACTCCAAACTGCACATATTAGTGGTTTGTCCCTCTAATTGAAATGTCATTATGAACTCTTTAAGGGAGTGTTTATTATGCCAAAGATAACCTTAATTTTGTGTGTTGTTTACTCTTTAAAGAAAATTCTTTGAAGCTTATATCTCCCACCAAGGGACATTACCTTGATGGCAACATCCACTGGGAGGAACGGGTTGGGAAATACTAGCATCATCCTCTACAGTTCCTGTTGGTAGCCAGT